GCATTATGCAATACAAAAATGTGCATTATAATAAATTAGAAAAATTGCATTAGTTTAATCACTTCCTTTTGCGCTTTTTCCGCCGCCCGCCTTGCCGGAGTCTGGAATTCCAGGGTCACAACAAGCCGTCGCCTTGTCATAGACCTCCCCTTTCCCATTATGGCACCTCCAAGAACTCCGAGCTGGTTCCGCCACTTATTATTTCCATATATTACTACTTTACGAGTATGCAATTTTGTTTTCCTTATTCTGAAAAATTCATCTGCCACAATTTAGAGAGCCTATTTGATAACACAAAAACTGACTCAATTGGCTACTTTTCTGAAACCTATGAAGTTCATGGTTAAGTGATTGTTTTCCTTATTCTTTTTTGTACGTAGTGCGTTTAGGTATAAGAAAATAAACATACTAACAACTGAGCGAAAGAATTTCCTCTCTCATACGTAGTGTATTTAGGTATAGGATAAGCGGAACAATAATTGAACTAGAGAATTTTTCTCTCATTTGTAGTACTTTTAGGTATAAGATAAGCGTACTAATAAGTGAGAGAGAATATTTTCTCTCATATGTAGTGTTTTTAGGCTTAAAATAAGCGGGTTAATACATGAACGGGAGAAGTTTCTGTCTCATATGTAGTACTCTTAGTTATAAGAAGACAAACGAACTAATAATTGAGAGAGAAGCGTTTTCTCTCATATGTTGTACTTTTAGGTATACGCTAAGCGAACTACTAATTGAGCGGGAGAACATTTTTTTCATACGCAGTGCTTTTCAGTATAAGATAAGCATACTAACAACTGAGCGGGAGAATTTTCTCTCTCATATGTAGTGCTTTTAGGTAAAATAGGATAAACATACTAACAACTGAGCGGGGAAATTTCCTCTCTCATATGTAGTGCTTTTTAGGTAAGATAAGATGAGCATACTAACAACTGAGCGGGGAAATTTCATCTATCATATGTAGTGCTTTTAGATATAAGATAAGATAAGATGAGCATACTAACAACTGAGTGGGGAAATTTCTTCTATCATATGTAGTGCTTTTAGGTATAAGATAATATACGTGGAATAATAATTGATGGGAGAATATCTCTCTCTCTCATGTAGTACTTTTAGGTATAAGATAAGCGTATTAATAAGTGAAAATAATATTTTCTCTCACATGCAGTGTTTTTAGGTATAAGATAAGCGGACTAATAAATGAACATTGAAAGTTTCTCTCTCATATGTAGTACTTTTAGCTATAAGAAGATAAACGAACTAATAATTGAGCGAGAAGGGGTTTCTCTCATATATTGTACTTTTAGGCATAAGATGGGCGAACTAATAATAGAGCGGGAGAATTTTCTTTTTCATACGTAGTGTGTTTAGGTATAAGAAGATAAACATACTAACGACTGAGCGAAAAATTTCCTCTCATACGTAGTGTTTTTAGGTATAGGATAAGCAGAACAATAATTGAACTAGAGAATTTCTCTCTCATATGTAGTACTTTTAGGCTCTGTTCTAAAAATCGTTCTAGGCATCCGACTAGTCGTCGCCTAGGTGCTAGGCGGTGGTCGGGCGCCCCAATTTTCTTCTAGGCGCTCTGACTAATTGGTTTTCCGTCTAGGTGATGAGTAAGTCGGCCGCCTATGGCGCCTAGTTGTCCGCCTTGAGCGCCTAATCGGCCGCCTAGGCCGTCTAGATTCATCAAACATTACTTTACTTTTTTTTAATTTTATAAGTGACATACGTACTTTAACTTTAGTCATGGATATAAAGAAATGAAATTGTTAATTAAGATCAAACTATATACTTGTATGTTTCTTTATATACCTAAATTTCATCATTCTTTATATTTATAATATAATGAAGTTAAGTGATTAGTTATCATATACTACGTATGATAATGTGATAATTCTATCATTCGTGTTTGTTAATGTGTGTGTGTGTGTATTTTGTATACACAGAACTACAATATTACTTATTATATTTGTGCAAAAATATAGATAAAAATGCATTTTCTTTGTCTCCGACTAGTCCCCGCTAGCCGCCTAGGCGCTAGGCCGGTGCCCGACTAGCGCCTAGCGCCTTTTAGAACATTGCTTTTAGGTATAAGATAAGCGTACTAATAAGTGGGAGAGAATATTTTCTCTCATATGTAGTGTTTTTAGGTTGGGAAAAGGGGCAAATAAGCCCTCGAACTAATCAAAAAAGTGCAAATAAGCCCTTTTGTAGGTGGTTGTGTCCGATCATCGTCATTTAGGGAGGTTCTCGGTAGAATTTTTTGATAAATTTTTTTGAGCATCTTCTTCATTAAGTCTAGTTTAGCCATACCAAATTTCAGTTAAATATTCAACCGGGAAGGCACTCAAATGATTTTTGGAAATATACTGCGTTGTTTAACTGCGCAATTATCTTCAAAAAATCATTTGACTGTCTTCCCGATTGAATTTTTAGCTGAAATTCGGTATGACTAAACTAGACTTAATGAATAAGATGTTCAAAAAAATTAATCAAAAAATTCCACCGGGAACCTCCCCAAATGACGATGGCCGGACGGAATCTCCTACAAAAGGGCTTATTTGCACTTTTTTTATTAGTTTGAGGGCTTATTTGCCCCTTTTCCCTTTTAGGTTTAAAATAAGCGGGTTAATACATGAATGGGAGAAGTTTCTGTCTCATATGTAGTACTCTTAGTTATAAGAAGACAAACGAACTAATAATTGAGAGAGAAGCGTTTTCTCTCATATGTTGTACTTTTAAGTATACAATAAGCGAACTAGTAATTGAGCGGGATAACATTTTTTCATACGCGGTGCTTTTCAGAATAAGATAAGCATAATAACAACTGAGTGAGAGAATTTATCTCTCATATGTAGTGCTTTTAGGTAAGATAGGATAAACATACTAACAACTGAGCGGGAAAATTTCATCTCTCATATGTACTGCTTTTAGGTATAAGATAAGATAAGATAAGATAAGATAAGATAGATAAGATAAGATAAGATAAGATAAGATAAGATAAGATAAGATAAGATAAGATAAGATAAGATAAGATAAGATAAGATAAGATAAGATAAGATAAGATAAGATAAGATAAGATAAGATAAGATAAGATAAGATAAGATAAGATAAGATAAGATAAGATAAGATAAGATAAGATAAGATAAGATAAGATAAGATAAGATAAGATAAGATAAGATAAGATAAGATAAGATAAGATAAGATAAGATAAGATAAGATAAGATAAGATAAGATAAGATAAGATAAGATAAGATAAGATAAGATAAGATAAGATAAGATAAGATAAGATAAGATAAGATAAGATAAGATAAGATAAGATAAGATAAGATAAGATAAGATAAGATAAGATAAGATAAGATAAGATAAGATAAGATAAGATAAGATAAGATAAGATAAGATAAGATAAGATAAGATAAGATAAGATAAGATAAGATAAGATAAGATAAGATAAGATAAGATAAGATAAGATAAGATAAGATAAGATAAGATAAGATAAGATAAGATAAGATAATTGACGAGAGAATATCTCTCTCATATGTAGTACTTTTAGGTATAAGATAGGATAAACATACTAACACCTGTGATTTTGTGACTTTAAAAGTTTTCATTTCTCATGTAGATGTTCTAAAAGTAACTTACATCTAATGACTTTAAAAGGCCTCATTTCTCAGTAGTTTATCCATATGAACATTACTTACATCTAATGCTCTAACAACCATATAAGATGACTTAATATGGTTCCCAAAATCACAGATTCTCCAATTTGAAGAAGAATTTGTTCTATTCACCTAACTGCTTCTTATAATTGTGATATTGGTCAGGATGGTGGTATTATTTGGCAACCTGAAGATGATGGATGCCTCTTTTTTACCTGGGAAGTCTGGAGGCGGTGCAGTTTTGAGGAACCAGTCTGGGGCTTGGTAGCAGCCATCTCCCACAGTCTTGGAGCCATCTTTAAGCCACCATGTCATATAAACTTGTCTAATAGACTTATCACTTTGATTTCTAGGAACACCCATTATGCCCATAAAGTAACACCATATGGGATTAACCACCTCACACAAAAACAAAAGGTGATCCATTGAATCTTCAACATTGTTCAGAGGCATGTCCTTATGTGCTCTCATAGGGCAGGAGCCCTCTGAGTGTCCCAGATGAAAGCAACTCCCAAAGTACAATGGTTTATTCTTGTATCCAACCGATTGGCCAAATCCCAAAGATCCACACTGGATCAACACCTTTTTTGGCATCTCCTTAGAGAGATCAACATCAACAAAAATCCTTGCAATTGAGGGTTTAGATAATGATGTTGTAGCAGCATCCAATTTTAATGGTTTACCAATCATACTTGCTAGTTTGAGATGAAGTTTAGGCTTATTCCATCTGATTGCCTTAATTTGCGTACCTGTAATCTTGAAATCTTTTGGAATCAATTTTTCCTCAAAAAGGACCTCACCTACAGATCGAACCTTAAGCCTGGAGAATGTAGAAGCACACGCTTGTGTATAATTTTTTATTTGAGAAATTATGTTATCCGAAGCAGGCCTGATATTCTGATTTCCCCAAATAATACTTATATACTAGTGGTAATATCCCGTCTAGTCTACTTTTTGTAATTCTATTTCACTTATGTCACCTAATGATTTCTCTTTCATTTAAAGACTTTTGACTTTTCAATTTTATTTTTTTAATTTCAAAAGTAACCTAATTAAATGCGAGATCATGAATCACCTCAATCTTCTTCATCCATCTTCATGATATACTTCGTATCAAACTGCACCAGAGAGACGATGCGGCTGTTCTCTTTCCACCCACCTTCGACTGCGCCTCCATTCTCCGCAGATCCGCCCTCCTTGTTCATCCATTCTCACGGAGTCACGGCCTCACAGCGAATCGATTTGAAGCGTCAAGTACAAAAGTTAGAGACGTTCGCCGTTGTTCCCCTCCCCCAGCGGCGTCTCCACTCAATCTCCGATCTGTGGCCTCCGCGGCTCCGCGCTTCGCCTTTGCCTGCTTGGTTGCTCCTCTAATCGTTGCCTGATTCCCTCACTGCTTTCAGATTTGCATGTATGTATGAAATTTGAGAATTTTACCTTCACTTTAATTGTTGTTATAATTTATATAGTTAAGACTTATTTCTTGTTTCCGATTTTGTTTTGTTTTACTTTCTGCTTTATTTTTGTTATAATTGCCTTTCAGTTTTAAAATCCCCACACCACATGACACACATGAATTTCAGATTGGAGTATTTTTCCTTTACTATTTATTGTATATTAATGGTACCCCTCACATTTCAATCAATTAAAGCTCAGAAATCATGTGTCCCTCTATACGATTGCTCAGAGTGCATTGATAGAAAGGTATTAGAGCTTCTCATCTGCATTGTGCTTGTTTATTCTATCTTATTCCTATCTTCTCTTTAATATGAAAATATAACTTTGCAGACGCTAAGTAATACATGATCTGCTGCTCTTCCAAATGAAAAGATATACACTGAGTTGCTTGATTTTGCTAATATTTGTATTGTAATGATCTGAGTTGCTTCATTTTTCTGATATTTAAAATGATTGTAATGATCTTTCTTTATTGATGTAGGGTACTGACTTTATTGTAACATGTTGCAACAAAAAGAAACATTAGGAAACAATAGCAAACAAAGAATTGTAAGAAAACTGAAATCTAATTTACTAAAGTCACCTCCATTACGGGATCTAATTTTCAAAAGTAGCTAACTGTTACTGCTGCTTTTCCAAATGGCCATACTTTGTAGGGTTAAACATTATGCTGAAATCTAGAAATTAGAAACTAGATTGTAAACATTTAAACATTATAATCTCCAAGAATTGAAATGTTTCTACCTTTACTTTTATATGTGGGAAGGGGTTGTGGTGCTTATTGATGTATTCCGGCTCATAATTTACTCTTTTCTCACTAATAAAGATTACCGGTTTCATTTTGTAAGTCAAACCTTAACTTTCTATCTGTCAAGTTCTAAGTCAGACTTGCCCGCTTAATCACTTTTTTATTTTATTTTTCTTATTAATATAGCTTGTCTTTTGTATATGCATCCTATAAATGTTGTTTGCCTTTTGGCCGAAGTTGCTTTAAATCGCATATTGAGTTGATTTTCCTTGATCAATCTCCAACCCAATAAGACAACTTAACTAGCGACTAAAATTGATTATTTACTTTCAGTCTTCTTAATGCCGCCTGACCTTTTTTCTCTTTTCAAAGACAAATGAAGATGGGGAAGCATGTTTCCCACTTTTTAATGAAATTATGACTACTGGATAGGCATCGGAAGGAGTTATTGCAGTGGAGGTTGAGCTTGCTGAAGCTTTGAAGGCAAAGACCAAACCAAACATCATCTGCAGGTAGTATTCTACTGTCTTTGAACTTTTGGTTTCTAGACCAACTAAGAACCCAAAATAGAGTCAAATCATTACAAAGTACCAAATTCATATGGGAATGTGTTTTTTTCTGCCTCATTTCTTTAGGATAAATTACAATAGTAAGACATGACTATTGACCTGAGGATATAATGACTGATATACAAAAGAAATTTCATTTGGCAGGCCCTATATGTGTAATGCTAAAATCAGTCCCTGATCAGAGGAGCAATGAACTCAATATGATCGCCTCGCTTCATAATCCTCACCTAGCTCACATCCCCATTGTCGTCACTCCCAGCAACGAGTGCCAACATCCGAGCGAAAATTGCCTATGCCCGAGCTGCAAGCAAGTGTTCTGTAGCCAATTCATGAACAAACACATGGGGGAGCATCATCAAAGGATGAATCGGACCATAGTGCTTAGCTTTACTGATTTATTAGTGTGGTGTTTCTCTTGCGATGCATATTTCGATGTACCGGCCATTCAAGCGTTGCATGTTGCTCATTTACGTACATATGTCCTGAAATTAAAAAAAAAATCCTCCACTCCCTGGAAATGAGCATATTCATTTGGAAAACAGCAAGCTTGAGACTTCCATCTCTGGAAACCGATCTAATTGATCTCGATTCGAGGGATTTAGCTAGGATGTGCTGAAATAAAAGATGTTAGAGACATTTGTAGTTCAATTAGAAAATGATATTAGAAAATGATCTTGTATGTACACTATAATATATTGCATAATGATAATTGTAATTCTTATCATGAATATGACAAAACAAATTTAAATGTGTGTATTGTATGTTGTTTATTCCTTTTTGTTTCTCTTTGTTTTATTGTGTTGCTTTTTGTTGCCTCTTGTTGCTTTTTATGGCATCTTGTTGCTCTTTGTTGATATTTGGTCAATACTTGATTTTTAATATTTTTCTTAATTTTTGTATTCATGTTTGCAGTTATTTTTTCTATTTTGGTGCAAATACACTTTATACATGTGTTTGTGTAGTGACAAAATTGCATATAATATAAAAACACAAGAACAAAAAAACAATAAAAAACAAAATATGAAAATTCATAAACAAAAATAAACAAAAGGAAACAAAAAAGTAACCATATAAAAAATAATGCAACAAAAGGCAACATAAAAACAACAATAATAGTAATAATTGGTTTAAAAATAACTATTTACAATTTTAAATAATTTAACTTTTAAAAAAATTAAAATGTGACTAGTTTAAATAAAATTACTTTCAAAAGTTATACTTTGTATTTCGTGATATTTATTATATTTTTTATTTTTTATATTTAATTTATTATTTCTCAAGTTTTTAATCTTAATTTCATGTTTTTTTAAAAAACTTTAAGGTTATAGATTTTTAAATATTTTTTACTTTTTTATAATTTTTTTTTTGTTTTTTATACTTTGTAAATGAATTATATTATCTACTTAAAAGTTAAAACACTACAACAAAAATTATTTCTCAAGTTTTTATTATTTAAGATTTCTACATGTTTTTATTTTTATAACTTTTTTGTAAAGTTTAAATTCATTTTATTTGATTTTTACATTTAATTTACAAATTTGCATTTCTTTGGAATTGTATTTTTTATTTTAAGTTTGAGTTTTTTTATGTTTTTTAAATCAATTTCTCGTTTTTTAATAATATTGTTTTCTAAGCATTATAAACTAATTGTATATGAGTTAATTTAATTAAAAACTAAAAAAGTTGAGTGCTGCATGTGGGCTTCGTACTTTAATCGAAGCTGGGTGAAAAACGAAGCACTGATTCATACACTAGCTAGCTGGGTGCAAGAATAATAAGAAATTTGAGTTCGGTGGACTTCGTACACGCGGAGAGTCTATAATAAGAAATTTGAGTTCGGTGGACTTCGTACACGCGGAGAGTCTATTTTTGAAAAGAAAGTTAGAAGTAATCTATATTTGAAAGAAACTTTTAAGGGTGACAAAAGTGATATTATTTTCACTTTTTAGTCTATTTGTGAAAACTTCCCTATATACTATCGTGTATTTTTTTACATTGGCTCGCGGACCAACCCATTTAACCCACGAGTTAGGTGGGTTGGGTTAGAGTTGTAGATTCTGGCCCTCCATTAAACGGGTTAGTTGGTCCGACCAGACCCACATAAAGAATAATTTACCTATTTACACCATAAATATCCCAAAAGCCTATTTACACATTCCCTAAAAGACACTATTTATATGCCTAGGGAATGTGGTGATGTGACCTAAGCATGAATTGGGCTCCTTCATTGATTGGGCCCAATAACAAACTTTACACATTTCCTAATAAAGCTAGTCTAATAATAGCTAACATAGATCCCAATGGGCTAAAATATCTAAACAATTAGTAGGGGTTCAAAATAGTAGGAGTTCAAAATAGTAGGGGTCGAATTAGTAGGGATTGGGTTAGTAGGGGTAAGCTAGTAGGGGTTCGAAATAGTAGGGGTTGAACTAGTAAGGGTTAAGCTAGTAGGGGTTCACCATAGTAGGGGTTGAACCAGTGGGGGTTAAGCTAGTAGGGGTTCACGATAGTAGGGGTTTAATTAGTAGGGATTGAGTTAGTAGGGGTTAAACTAGGGATTAGTTTAGTAGGAGTTCAAAATAGTAGGGGTCGAATTAGTAGGGATTGGGTTAGTAGGGGTAAGCTAGTAGGTGTTCAAAATAGTAGGGGTTGAACTAGTAGGGGTTAAGCTAGTAGGGGTTTAGGGGTTTAATTAGTAGGGATTAGTTTAGTAGGGGTTCAAAATAGTAGGGGTCGAATTAGTAGGGATTGGGTTAGTAGGGGTTAAAAATAGTAGGGGTTGAACTAGTAGGGGTTAAGCTAGTAGGGGTTCACGATAGTAGGGGTTGAACTAGTAGGGGTTAGGCTAGTAGGGGTTCACGATAGTAGGGATTGAACTAGTAGGGGTTAAGCTAGTAGGGATTGAGTTAATAGGGGGTAAGCTAGTAGGGGTTCAAAATAGTAGGGGTTCACGATAGTAGGGGTTGAACTAGTAGGGGTTAAGCTAGTAGGGGTTCACGATAGTAGGGGTTTAATTAGTGGGGATTGAGTTAGTAGGGGTTAAACTAGTAGGGATTAGTTTAGTAGGGGTTCAAAATAGTAGGGGTCGAATTAGTAGGGATTGGGTTAGTAGGGGTAAGCTAGTAGGGGTTCGAAATAGTAGGGGTTGAACTAGTAGGGGTTAAGCTAGTAGGGGTTCACGATAGTAGGGGTTGAACTAGTGGGGGTTAAGCTAGTAGGGGTTCACGATAGTAGGGGTTTAATTAGTGGGGATTGAGTTAGTAGGGGTTAAACTAGTAGGGATTAGTTTAGTAGGAGTTCAAAATAGTAGGGGTCGAATTAGTTGGGATTGAGTTAGTAGGGGTAGCTAGTAGGGGTTCAAAATAGTAGGGGTTGAACTTGTAGGGGTTCACGATAGTAGGGGTTGAACTAGTAGGGGTTAATCTAGTAGGGGTTTAGGGGTTTAATTAGTAGGGATTAGTTTAGTAGGGGTTGAAAATAGTAGGGGTCGAATTAGTAGGGATTGGGTTAGTAGGGGTAAGCTAGTAGGGGTTCAAAATAGTAGGGGTTGAACTAGTAGGGGTTGAACTAGTAGGGGTTAAGCTAGTAGGGGTTCAAAATAGTAGGGGTTAAGCTAGTAGGGGTTCACGATAGTTGGGGTTGAACTAGTAGGGGTTAAGCTAGTAGGAGTTCACGATAGTAGGGGTTTAATTAGTAGGGGTCAAATTAGTAGGGATTGAGTTAGTAGGGGTAAGCTAGTAGGGATTCAAAATAGTAGGGGTCGAATTAGTAGGGATTGAGTTAGTAGGGGTGTAAGCTAGTAGGGGTTCAAAATAGTAGGGGTTGAAGTAGTAGGGATTGAGTTAGTAGGGGTTCAAAGTAGTAGGGATTGGGTTAGTAGGGGTAAGTAAGCTAGTAGGGGTTCAAAATAGTAGGGGTCGAATTAGTAGGGATTGGGTTAGTAGGGGTAAGCTAGTAGGGGTTCAAAATAGTAGGGGTTGAACTAGTAGATTTTGGGTTAGTAGGGGTTCAAAATAGTAGGGGTTGAACTAGTAGGGGTTAAGCTAGTAGGGGTTCACGATAGTAGCAGTTGAACTAGTAGGGGTCAAGCTAGTAGGGGTTCACGATAAGAGGGGTTTAATTAGTAGGGATTTAGTTATGTTGAGATATATTATCTCGGTCCGTTATTGTTCAGGAGCCCAAGACTGTACGTAGTACGGAGCCCGATCAGCGAGGCTGATTTCCAGCCTATCGGGCCTATTTCGGCCTTTGGGCCCATTTTGGGCTTACTTGGCCCATTAGGGTAGACTTATCCCCCATCCCCTTTTCCCTATAAATATGGGGTTTTCCCACATGTTTAGGGATCGTTTTTTGGTTGGTCTCTTTTTTCCCACTTCTCCTCCTTCTCTCTAGAATAGATTAGCTAGCTTTATCCTCCATTAATGGAGCTTGAATATTGTACTATGTAATGGTGAGGAGAGACTAATGAGAATGAGAGGGCTTGGACATTAGCCTAAAAAGTCCCGTGGTTTTCTCCCTTTCGGGTTTCCACGTAAAAATAGTTTGTTCATACACATTTATACATATATTTAATATATCGTGTTGGATTAAACTCAACAAGTTAGTAGGGATTCAAAATAGTAGGGGTTAAACTAGTAGGGATTAGTTTAGTAGGGGTTCAAAATAGGGGTTAAGCTAGGGTAAATTATACCGTACACCCGGTTGTACGGTGAGAACCGTACAACTGGGTATTTTTGCAATTAATTGGAATTCCGGAGGAAGAGATAGGTGGATTGGGAGGGATCTGAGAATTCATTCGGTGGCTTCAAGCTGGTGTTCTCTGAGATTCTGGGAGTTGATGAACGAGACGCCGGTGGATGGATGTCTACTGCTCGCTGGATCTTCTGTTTGGTTGATGAAGGAGAATCACGGAGTGGCGGTGTGGTCTTCTGCTCGCTGGATGGATGACAGATAGTTGCATCTACGTTTTTCTCTTTTGTCTTTGATAGTTTGATGTTCTTCTTTTCTTGCTTTTACGTTTTTCCTTCTTTAGTTCTTTCTTTTTCTTAATTTTTTTTATTTTAATCTTTATTCAATTATAAAATATTTTAGATACTTTATTCTATTATAAAATATTTTACATACTAATGTTTTGTTTTACTATAGCTCATTTTGTTAGCTACACATGCTCATTTGATATTGGTTTTATTCTCATTTTAAAATGTCATATCAATACACAAATCAATATTTAGCACAATATAATAGAAATGAGTTTAATGTTAAATTCAAATGAGTATAACGTCTAAAATGAATGAGCATACACAGATGCGTTTTGAATTTTTTTGATACTCATTTTGTAAGTTATGTATGCTCATTTGGTAATGTTTTGTGCTCAATTTAAAAGGTTGCACATTTCAAATATATCATACTACATTAGATTCACATCAGAAACAACTTTTATGTTTAACTCAAATGAGTAAAATGCCCAAAA